ACTTCATTGGTTAGGGGCAGACACATCGTGCTCGTCACGCATTTCCCCAGCTCGTGCAGGCTGTGTGCAAAGGCCCGGGCGTGTTGCCTCAACACTGCCTCCAGCCGACTCGCCACTGCGCCCTTCATCGCCGCCCCGATGTTCCATTCTCTCCCTGCCTTCCCTTTTTCCGCTTTTGCCCCCTTTTCTCCTCCTGTAGTTGCATCTTGTCCCTCTTCCCGTTCCTTGCCACATTCTGCGGTGCCTTCGGCTACCTCCTTCACCTCCTCCTTGGTTTCTGCCCCACTTTGCTTCTCTTCAGTCTCTCCCTGCAAGGCCATGTACACTCTTGCGGGCTCTAGTAACTCCACATCCGCGTCCGGCACTTCCAGCTCTGTTGGATCTTCCTCCTCCTCACTGTCCCAATCCGTCGCTGGCTCCTCTCACACTTCCTCCTCCTCTCCTTGATCAGGGTATCTTCCCGGCACGCCATGCCTGTCGCTCAGCATCTCCATTCTTCTTTCCTGCGGTACTCCTTCCCGCCTTTCCTCCCAAGCCTCTTGCTCCAGTAGCTCCAACAGTGCCTCCGACTCCTCCTCCTTCATCTCATCCTGCCTCGTCTTCGGGTCCGCTGCTGCCGCGTGATCTCTCCTCCTTTCTAGCCGCTTCCTTTCCAGGTACCGGTGCATGACGCCCAACAGCCAATGCAGCGCGTTGAGGTCCATGGCGTTTCCCAGTTCCTTCCGTCGCTGTCTCTCCGTCACGTCCACACTCGCCGTTTCCCCCGCCATGAATCCCATGACCAGCTCCCTCTCTAGCGCACTCGGCTCCTCCCACACACCCTTTAGCCCATCAAAAACCATTCCTGGCCCCTCCACGGCTCCCTCCAATTTAAACCCCCTTGCATTTTCGTACGATACCAGAGTCGACCATGCCTGTCTCGGCTTCCCCACTTGGTTGCACGGGTACTGAGTTTCGTGATCCGGATGCCGCACACGCGCTGCCACTCTGGCGGGCTCTAGGATGTCTTGCACCAAGCGAGCCTTCGGTCGCTCCATCATCGACAGCTCGTGCTGCAAGGCGGCTTTCGGCACCACATTTTGCCAGTACCGGCGCAGGCGGTGTGCTCTGCTGCCATTCTGCGCAGCATCCCGTGCCACTCCTACCCCCAGCTCTCCTCGGATCTCCTCTTCTGCTTGCTTTACTGCCTCCCGCATATCATCTCGCGTATCCACGTTTTCCAGAATGTAGGCCACTTCCCCTTGCTTTCGCTTGATCATCTTCAGTATGCGTATGAGTTCTCCGAATAGTCCACTTCTAGGGTCTTCCATACCCTTGCCTTCCCCTGCTCGTGACATCCCTTGACATTCCCACCCCGCGATCACCAAGTCCACATGCCCCCAGTGTGCCAATGCCTCTTCCTTCACATTCTCCACTCGGCGGCAGATCCACTCTGCCCCCTTCTCTACTACATCCGCATAGAACTGCGACGGGTACCTCTCCTCTAGCTTCTTGATGTGATGCCATGCCATGCGGTCCACTGCCTCGTCGTTCTCTGCACGCATATACTTCTTCACTCTGAGCCCGGCCTTTAGGACTGCGGCCAATCCCGTGCTAATGCCCCCAAACAGCTCCAGCATGACTATTGGCCTCTGAAACACTCGCCCATCTAAGTGCAACTCCCGAATTCGCCCTCCTTCTCCCCAGTGCTGCCGATGCCAATCACGGTGCCTTCGCTCCTCTTCCACCTTCTGCCAGCTGAGTATGCCTAACTCCTCCTCCACCATCTGTATTTCTGCATGGTAGGCCTCTCGCGGCTCATGGCGGATGAAGCGTACTGGTAGCTCAGCTACGGGGCGGTTTTTCTCCTAGTAGACCACCCGGTACGTTAGCTTTTCTTCCCACATGCAGATGGTGGCTCCGATACTGTACAAGAACTCCACTCCTAAGAGCAATATGTAGTCCTCGAACGGTGATATCCTGCACTGCAGCTTCACGGAACACTCCCCCGAGCTCCCTTGCTTTATCACTATCCCCACCGTGCTTCTCGTCTTAGGCATCCACTTCGAGCCCCCGCCTTCAGCCGTCATCAGCAGCAAACCTTCCTTGACCTGTCGCTCTGGTCGGTCTAGCAGCAGTAGCTCCGCCAGCCTCTTTCGGATGAGCACCGGATGTGCTCCTGTGTCTATTATCGCTTGCTTCACAGCGATCCCCCCCACTGTGATTAGGAGAGGATCACACATCAACCAGCCCTTACTCTCCTTGGCCATGCCCAGATGCATGCCCCATGCTGCCTTACTTACAAACTTGCTGCGATTGTGACAAGACTCTGCAAGAGGTCTGAAGCATAGTCGTTCTAGGTGAAGCCGTGGGAGGTCCGTGGGAGAAGCCGTCGAGTTTGGCCGAAAGGTTCGGATAAGCGGACCCGTGGTCTGGGTGGAGAAATCGGCCAAGGGCAAAAATTGTTTGACCCGTTGGACGGGGCAATGTCGTGTAGAAGTTGCGGCAACTGGGACCCATGCGCCGGTCCCCCCTTGATTGGTCTTAGAGCGGGGAATGAACAACCACATACAGTCATTGTCGAACTCGATGTGATGCTATTGGATGGCAACCAAATCGGAGAAGCGCAAGGAGGCAGAGTACATAAGAAGTGGGATGAGGCCGTTCTAGAAGGTCCCTGCATCAGACGACACGAAGTAACTGTCACATATCTCATGAATCTTGTCGAGCGGGATGGGGTCCTTGGATTGAGAGGGCCGAATGCACCGACGCTGCGCATACTCGCGGACCTGAGAAGACAAAGGGCCGCGAATCGGGGACGGGTGACCAAACGACCAGTGGGCACATGAAATGGCCGAGCATGTTGAACGAATAGCTGATAATGTAGCTCCATGACGAATGGATTGTAACAGAAACAGAGCTGCTGTAATGTCATCGGCAGGTAGGAACGTGAGCGAATGACGGCTACAGAACGGGCGAAATTGCCGCCAGTAGGGTTCGTATGTACGTATTGTGGACTGTGCGCGAAGATCCACTGTTAGGGTAAGTAACTCAAGAGTTAGGCGTCCAATATAAGATCCAGCATAAAAGCAGAATTTAGATGCTATCAGTAAAGCTTATACGAAGGGCCCACATGGGGGAGTTAGGCAGACCTGCGCCGCTAAACGCTTGGCTGTCTGAACCGATCTCGAGGCAATCTGAGCCTAGCGATAGGCGTTGGGCTTCCCATATGAATGGGGCACAGGAGGAAGGGGTGGGGCGGACGAGTGGACATCAAAATGAGCTTGGCCACTCTGGGACGATTAGGGTGAGATCCGCTCGCGAGCGCCATGCATGACAGAGAACCGCTGGGATCAAGGTCGGAGGCGGAAAAGCATAGCAGTTGTCTGCGCCCCACCCAATGGAAAATGCATTTTGTATGAAAGCGCCGCGGTGATAGAATGGGGAGCAGAACCTGCGAAGGCGGCGATTCGACGGGGAGGCAAAAAGATCAATGGTATGGGTCCCCAGCGCCGCTCCAAGAGGAAAAACCATGGGCGAGCCAGCGAATAATCGTCGTGGAGCTCAATTTTGGATAGCGCATCGGCTTCTTCGTTGAGTTCGCGGGGTATCCACTGCATCGATAGTCGGATGTTGAGGTGTACACAAAGTTGAATAATGCCTCGGCATATCAATGTGAGCTCTGGTCGACGTGAGCCACCCTTTCGCATAATGAAGTACGCCGCTTGGCTGTCGGTGCGAAGGAGAACGTGGCACCGAGGGAAGTCATGTGCGAAGGAAGATAAGGCCCATAAGAAGCCAACCAGTTCTCGACGAGTACTAGAAGTGGAGCGGATGCTTACGGGCATCGGGGACGAGAGTTCGTGCGTTATGCCGGATGGAGTAGAATACACGGCGCCGCAGGCATGATCGCTTGCGTCGACGTACAAAACGAAGTCGAAGGTGTGAGAATTGTGGAATGTCGCGCCGTTAAGAGCATCAAACTGAATCAGCCAAAACTTAAGCTCATCGAGTGACGCCGGTGACAACAATACTGTCTGACCCCAAGAGTGACAATCAGCGATTTGCGAGAGCAAGCTATGGGAGAACGCACGAGCAAGTGCACCGAGGGCCAGGGTCATAGAGGCTAGCATGCCCGTGATGTGTGCAACGCGGCGGATTGGGACCGGTCGGCCAGCGGTGCTATTGGAGCATATGTCCTCCAACTCGGAAAACAAACGTGCCTTGCGAGCTGCGTCGATTGAGAATGTCATTGACTGTGTGTCAAGGACTAGACCCAAAAACTTGAGAGAGTGAGTCGGTTCCAATTGTGACTTCTTGTAGTTGACCAAAAAGCCAGCGGATCGAAGATCCTTAAGTATGGATGCGCGAGTTTCGAGTGCGGCGGCACGTGTGGGGGCAAATCAACAAGATGTCGTCCACGTATGGAATGTGGTGGCGGTGTGTACTGCGCCACCGCTTAGCCAATTGCTTAATGAGTTGGGTAAAGACAAAAGGCGCTGACGGAAGGCCGAACGACAATGAGAGAAATTGATACGTTTGGCCGGCGAATGCAAAGCCCAAGAAGCGCCAGTAGTCGGGGTGGATGTCGACGTGGTGATATATAGACTTCAAGTCGATGGTCATAAGCCAATCGCCTTGTTGAACCAAGTCCGCAACGCGATTGAGCCCTTCGTAACGAAAACGTTGTAGGGCGAGGAATGAGTTGACGTGGCGCAGGTCCAATATCAATCTTTTCTTCGATGGTTGGACCACTATGTTGAGCGGGCTAATGCAAGTAAGGGAGTGTTCTGATGGGACTGCCCATGGCCAAGGGTAGACGATAGCCACGATATACGATGGATAGAATAAAACGACTGTCACACCAAGTGGCCCACCACGAGGAACGGTGCTGGAGGCGACCGCGAATGTGAATGTTATCGTGATCCTCCGTGACGGGAAAATGTGACGCACGATCTGAAAACACACCAGAAGCGTCGTCAGCGTGACCGTCTTACCGAGAAGGAAGCTTTGAAGGACTAATGACAGCAAGGTACAACGACGACTTGCAAGTACAAAGCTTGGTTTGTATTATTTTAGCATGCATGCGTACCCTCGTAATTTTTTTAATATTTATATATACGTACATATACACGGCCTCTTTGTATTGCCAAGGCCCAAAACATCTCTTCCATCTCCCCCTCTTTATGTCGATATGGAGCCATCCTTCAAGTGCAAGCCGGCTATGCGCTTATTAATGCTGGGATGTAAAGTGTACCTTATTAATGCTGGGATGTAAAGTGTAGCGGCTCAACGAGTGGCATCTTGCTCGACGAGCAATAATAATAATAATAATAATAATAATAATAATAATAATAATAATAATAATAATAATAATAATAATAATAATAACTCTTTTTCCTCTTTTTTTTTGTTTTTTTACAGATTTAGAGCAACAAGCGATTGGGTCTTATACCTTTAAACCACATGGCTAGGCTGATTGGCACCTTGGCCGCGCTGAGGGCATTGCGCAATCCCATGGCCAGGCTCGTGGCAATAAAAACATCGCCCGTCTCCCTCCCGACACCAAGTAAACTGGCGCTCGCCTTGGCCCCTATTCTGAGATTGAGTGCAAAAGCGTGGGGCGGAGGCTGTTGGACGGTCAGGCCGGCTCTTTTTGCTGGCTGCAACAATTTGGGTGGCGGCTTTGACCCTCTTGTCCTCCACCACCTCCCCATATTTTATCTTTAGCGCCATGTTCGCCACTTCGAATCCACGTTGATCAGCGGTGAACAAAAATGTGATCTTTTCCTGCGCCTCCTCTATGATGTCCTTCTAGTAGGTTGCAATCTGCTCGTGACCTTCAACTGAGGCGAAGAGGGCTGCGAGCGTGTGGCGGGCAATAAGCTCAATGCGTTCAAAGCTAAAAACCTGAGTGCGGATGCCATCGCTCTTAACTAGTGCGGATCGAAGCTGTGGACGGGCAGGTGGAATAGGTGCAAGGGCAGTAGCAGCATTGGATGGGACAGCAATGCGAGCGCGATGATTACCTTCGTCGTCGGAGTCGACGAGGGCGGCGGGGGGATTGTCGTTCACGTCGGGCGCCATTGGTGGGGGCTGGTTGGGCGCCCGTGCCGATTGTCCTGCGGGTCGGTTGGGCTCCGGAGGAGGCGTACGCCGGTTCGCTGCTCCCTGCTGCAATGCCGTGAGGAGCGCCATCGCCTGTTGAATGATGTTGTCATTATTTGCGATGTTGACATTAGCAGTAGCATTTGCCGAAGGCTGCTGAGCAGAGTGTAACGGCCTCGACGACGTAACGGATCGATCCATAGCGCGATCTTGTGTAGGTGCAAATTTCTCGAGCACATTCCGGAGCTTGCGCTGTGCTGCTGGGTCAAGATCCGCCAGGAGCTTGGCAAAATCCACTGGATTTGGCGCTGGTGCTGGCGCGGGTGGGAAACTCTAACGGCTCCCAGAACGTGGGGCGAAATTGTGGGCCCCCTGAGGCCCTCGAAATCCAGGGGGCAGATCCGCTCCCTCAGGGTCATGATTGCGCTGCCCCCGCAGCAGATTCTCGCTCTGAAGGTTGGGACGAATCGGGCCCTGAGGCAGGTTCGTGCCCTCTGGGCCTTGTTGCTGACGCGTGGCCTACAACAGACTCGGATTCTGCTGCAGATTCGCGTCGTCAGCAGGGGCACGTCCGCGAGATTGACCACCCGCGCCTGACGCCCCCAATGTTGGTGAGGCCGCGGTACCGGTTGGATTTCCACGTGCGCTCTCGTCGTTTCCGCGCGATCTGCGACCTTCGCGACCTCCGGTCGACCGAGCGGCATTGAGCAAGTCCATAGCAGTCAATGTGGCATTTGCTGATCCGTTTTCTCGCTCTCGACGAGGAGATCTGGAGCGATCCCTGTGTGACGAAGACGCATGGTCGTCATTCCGGTTAGGAGAGTGGTGGCGATGATTTGTGTTACTCCGAGTTGCACGAGGAGGCCTTCCAGCAGCCGCGGACACCAAACCGCTTGTCATGTTTAGTAGGCGGAAATGAAGCACGACTCCGATTAGGCTAGATCTAGATCTAGAATTTTGCATAGAAGTGTGTGTTGTGGATTTGCAGAAGATATCTGCAATTTTTTTAAGACTAGGTGGCAGGTCCGAAGTCCTGCGGGAATATGAAGGGAGACAACTCCTTTATTGCCGACCTCTTTACGAATCTTGTCACAATCCTCAAAATTTGAAGTATTATTCAAAATTATGCATGTTGTCATGCAGCACTTTGTACAGACCCATACAGCAAAGAACTCAAAGCATGGATACGTTTGGCTTTATGCCGTATAATGCCTCATAGGGTGTGACACCCTCAGTAAGGGAGCTTGTCAGCCGACGATTCTTGACCCAGCAGCATGGGTAACAGCTTCTCCCCACCATGAGTCATCGAGATTCATGTGGGAGAGAAAACCTCTTAAGATCTCTTGAATTGTACGGTTGTACCTCTCAGTGGTACCATTTTGTTGAGGTGTTGTTGGACATGAAAATTGCTGCTCGACTCCAAGGTTGGCAAGAAAAGAGCGGAAAGAGTTAGACATGTACTCTCCTCCACGATCAAAACGAAAGATTTTGACCTTGAGACCTAACGGACGTTCAACATAAGAAAACCAGGACTGGATAATACCAGGAGCTTCGTCTTTGGATCCAAGAAGAGAGATCAAAGCAAATTTTGTGTGATGGTCAATGAGTGACATTACATATCTTTTACCAGTACGACTCGATGTACGGGAAGGACCTATCAGGTCACTATGAATGAGCTCAAGTGGTTGAGAGACTTTAGACTAAGAAGAATAGAAAGGATGACGATGAAGCTTAGCCTCAACACAAGTGTGGCACGATGATTGAGAGGATGACAATTGCTTGGAGATGATAAGACCATCAACACTTGCATGTGCTTGCATCAGTGTGATACCAGACTCTTCAGGATGACCAAAACGACAATGCCAAGTGTAAGGAGATGCAGATGTACCAGGATGAAGTCTTACCGAGGTGGTAGCAGCAGCAATTGAAGAACTGCTGTAGGGCTTGGCAGGTGGTTGTGCATCAATCTCCACTCGATAGAGGCATCCATTACGAACTCATCTCGCAATGTGATGTCCAGTTGGAGCACGAACCTGCACAGAACCATCTGAGAAAGAAATAGAGATACATTTTTCTTCCATTTGACCAATTGAAATGAGGTTTGCTCCTAGCGATGGGACAAGCAAGATGCATGAGAATGATATATGGATTCCCTCCGAACTGAGGAATGTCATTGTACCCTCTGCTTGCACTGGCACCGAATGATTGCTGGCAACAACCACTTCTTTCATATTGGAGGGCTTGAGGTTGTGAAGGAGGGAAGCATGAGGGGTCGTATGTTGATCACGTCGACTGTTCAAAAACCAAATCTTTCGGATCCTGTGTAAAGGCATGGAGACAAGAGGATGATGCAAACGCAAAACCCGATGAGTCTCCCTCATGTGAAACGGATGGCGTCTGCAAAGTGTTGGCTTGAGGACAGGCCTCTGGTATGAAAGAGATTTGTGGTACAGAGAAAACATAGACATGGTCTTGAGATGGGCTTTGAGAAGCAATCTAAAGAGATGCCCCATGATGCGCATTGTCTGGTTCATATCCTGAAGGAATATGGGATGTAATAGCAAGAACAGCCCTTCCTTTGTCAGAAAGCAAAGATTAAGGTGGTGTCCAGTTCGCAGGACGTATATTGCATTTGAACCAAGGGTGTCCCCGTCAAACTGATATCTTGATTTGGCTTGTAAGGAATCTGAATGGAGTATGATGCAATCTGAGAAATGTGATTGGGTGTGGGCTTTCCAAGAACAGAGCGTGCTTGGGTAGGAAGAAACTTACTGTGCTGAAACTTACTCTGTTGTTGAACTCCTTGTTGAGGATGATAGTTGGCATTTGTCATTCCACTCCATGCTGCTTCAGGGCCCGTTTGAAGTTTTGTAAGCTCTCTTGTATGGTGCTCAGTGATAAGTGTGTTGAAGATGAAACCTCTGGTCCTTGTCTCTTCAGGAAACGATTGAATTGTGCTCCTCAGTGTGCTCAAAGTAGATGAGAGTCCAGCCAGAAGAATGGTGATGAAGAGGGACTCCGGTCTCCAAGGTCGAGAAGTGTAGCTTCGTAAAGAATCTCGCCACGTTGTAAGTAGACGGTGATGGATTCACTATCCCCCATGCGAAGAGATATGACCTTGTTCCAAACTTCTGGAAGACGTTTGAGTTGCTCCCAAGCAGCTTTGGCGCTGTCCTTTTGAGATGATACGAGGAGGAGGGGTTGAGAGTAGGAGTCTTGAATAGAAGAGAGAAGATAAAGGTAAGCTTCAGCATTTCTCTTGATCCAGTTGCTTTGTTCTTAAGCAGATGTAGCAATTGAAAGGGGAGTGATTTGACCGATGTAGATGGGCCAAAGATCAAGAAGAGAGGCGGCTTGTTAAAAACGGATGCTCCATGAAGAACAACTTTTGCCATTGAAGCGTGGAAGCTCCAATTTGGGAACTAAGGAGGAGGTAAAGGTGGACGTAGATGGTGAAGTAGATGGAGATGGTGTGTTGATCGTAGGGGGTGCTACTTCATTTGAAGAGTCAGCGGTGACAGCAGATGAAGTTGATCCCGTTGGAACAATTGAATCCTTTCCAACCATGTTGAAAAAAAAAAAAAAAAAAAAAACTCATGAAAGTAACAAAGCAAGCTCACACTGAAAAAAAAGGAGGAAATAGACAAGCAAAACAAGCATACACACACATACACACACGAACACAGAGAGAAGAAAAACTGAAAAGGAAACACAAAGAGAGGACCACACAAGGGGGGTACAAGACAGAGTGCAAGAACGCCACTAATAATGGCAAGTAATAATGGGCTTTAGAAAATGCGCACGGGTAAAGAAACAAAACGAACAAACTTGAGCTATGATGCCATCTTGAAATTGTACGAAAGGATGAGGAAGGGTAAATAGCAAGTAGAAAGAGAGAAATCACCTAGAAGAAAGAGTTAAGATTGAAGTAAGACAAAGTTGATAAGATAAAGAAAATCTTGAAGAAGAGATTGATTTAGAATGTGAAGGCTTTAAAGGAGAAGGTTAAATATAATAAAATTCAAAGAGAAACGATGAAAACATTAGAAGAAAAAAGATTGACTAAAAGGAAGATATTGAATGAGTTATTGATGAAAAGGTAAAAGGGCTAGAAACTAAAACAAACTTGATAATAGCAAATACGATTTGAGAAGAAATGAGACTTGATCAGAATGAAGAGGCCTTAAATTAAGAAGCTTGAATAGAGAAGAAACTTGATAAAACAAAGAAGCTTGATTAGAGAAGCTTGATAAGAATGAAAGAGGAAGTGATTTACCTAAAAAGAGTCTTGATATATTGAAGGAGCTTTGGAACTTGAAGAAGCAAAGTTTGAATTGTAGATCTTGATTATGAAAGAAGAATGAGATCCAAGCTTGAGTGTTGAATAGTAGATCTTGATTGTTGAGTGGAGAAGCACCTCCACGCTTGAGTGTTGAATGGTAGATCTTGGTTGTTATATGGAGAAGAATCTCTTAGCTTGGGTGTTGAAAGGTAGAGCTTGGATCTTGATTATAAGAAAGGCAAAGCTTGGTGTTGAAACATTAAAATTTTTAAAATGCACTAGTCCAAAGGAGGTACATGATGGACTTAAGGAGCAACCATTAGTGACAATCTAAAAGAAATACTATGTAGCATAAACTTCTCTAGAGTTTTAGGACATGGCTATGAGCTCGGGTTGGGAGAGGTTGGTGATATAAGTGGAGCCTTAGGAGTTGGGCATAAGGAGGAGGATTTTGAAGGTGGCCTTGAGAGAGCTTGTAGTGGAACTTGTACAGAGCTTGAGTGTTAAGTAACTTGAAAGTATGTGTTTGAAGAAATGAGGTGAACCCTTTTGTATTTGGTAGATCTTGATGTTGGATGAAGGATGAGGAAAACTAACTGATTGTGATTGGTAGAGTTGGATAAGGTGGGGGTGATGAATGTGGCCTTTAAGTGAAGGCTTGGTGAGGAGAATGAATGTGGCCTTGAAATTAAGGCTTGGTGAGTGGGATAAATTTGGCTTTGATTGAAGGCTTGGTGAGTGGAATAATTGTGGCTTGGGTTTGAAGGCTTTGTACGGAATCTTTTGTTTTATTGGTGGATGATGGGATTGGAAAGAAGATGAGGATAGGAGGAGAGATGGGGTGGAGGATTGATAGGTTTTGATTGATGAAAAAAAAAATGCTTTGCTGTCTGGAGATATGAAGGGTGTGGTGGCGAGT